AAAAAAAAAAAAAAAAAATCTCTCTCTTTAAAAAAACAACAACAAAAAAAACCCTACCAAGTATTTTTTTAATGATACCAGTAGCTGGGGATAGTGGTACAGGCCTATAATCCCAGTGAAATGGGAGGCTGAGGCAAGAGGCTCACAAGTTTAAAGCCAGGCAACTTAGTGAGACCTTGTCTCAGACAAAAATAACACTGAAAAAGGACTGAGGATGTCTCTCAGAAGTAGAGTGCCTCTGGGTTCAATCCCCAGTACAAAAAAATGATATCCATTTTTTTGAGTAATTTTGCTCTAGTCACAACTATCCTGGAAGAGCTAAAGTTCTTAAGGTAAAATGGAATTTCATCAAAACAATGAAAGACATTAATGAATCAAAAGCAAGTCTCCAGGCTGGGATTGTAGCTTAGTTGGTAGTGCATTTGCCTTGCATGTGTGAGGCCCTGGGTTTGATCCTCAGCAACATAAAAAAAAAACAAATAAAATAAAGGTATTGTGTCGATAACTTAAAAAAAGCAGCAAGTCTCTCTGACCCTCTTGCCTTCCCTGATAATAAGGCAAGCCAACTGTGTTTATCACTAGTGTGGTTTAACAACTTGTTTGCCTCTGAATAGTAAATAAACTGTAGTCTCCCTGCAACACCAGAATGTTATTTCTTAAATCTTCATAGACAAATACGTGTTGTTTGTCTTCCGAAGTCCTCTGTGTACTGAGCCATGCTTACCTGCTGTGGAGTTTAACAGAGCCTCTCCCACACTGTGCACTCCCTGATTGTTGCCTCACTTCTGTGGATCTAGCCTGGCCTATGAGCACTAACCAGCGGCAGCTCTGTTTATTCAACAACCAGGCCTCCTGCTCTGGCTAATAATTTCTCAGCAGATTTTAAACTCCCTGAACATCAAGGATACCTACATAGATTTTCAGTGGGTGATTCGTTTGTGTGTAGGACAGACTACTAAGGTAGTAACTTGGGAGATATGGATTCTAGTTTCTACTTCATCAAGGGCTTAAATGACCCTAGGACAGTCATTTTATTAATTGTTCCATATGAAAAGACAGGGCAAATATAAGCCTTAATTTATAAGGTTTGCCAAGATATAATGATAGTGAAAGCAATGTAAATACCATTCTCCAATGCTATTTAAATCCTCAACCAGAGCTTGAAGACCTCTATGATGAAGAGGAATCTGCTTCCAGATCAGATTCTTATTCTCTAATCAATACCTTCCAAGTCCAGGAAGGTCAGTAACTCATTCCACTGCAAAGTTGGGAAGGCCCTGGAAGGGCAGCACTTTTGAGCCTCATGAGCTGGATTCTGTGTTGCCCAAATGAGGACAAATTTTTCCTCTTCCATCCAGAACACAATAGCCTACTTCATTATCTGGGTAAAGAGAAGTTGAGACAATTAGACGAGAACATTCTTGTCTATATCAAGTACTTCACTCTTACGCATATTTTACTCATTTTTGTAATCCCAACATTGTGCCTAATAGTCACTAACTTGAAGTACAACTTTTTTATTTTTACTACCAGGGATGAACTCATGGGCTTTTAACATTGATCCCCAGCTTGCTTTTTTTTTTTTTTAAATTTGAGACAGGGTCTCACTAAATTGCTTA